TACGGTTCTAAGGGCGTTAAAGCATTAAAGATCCTGGTGGCTTCACAAGCTAATCTCTCATAATTGTTCTGGTATTTAATGAATGCAAAGCACAAGTCATGAAGACCGGCCCCTGTGCGAGCAGAATTATCGATTATTTAACTCAAGTCTTTTTGGAATAACCGAGTTGACCATTACGCATCAGATACTTAGCCTTATTTAATCATTTATGCGTATTTGCTTAATTTTCACAAATGAAATTTTAAATTACACAACATTATCAATTGGGGTGGGGGGGGATATAAATTTTATTTCAAACGGTTGAAATCCAGGCCGCAAATGTAGCGATCACTCCTTGTGCTAAAATTATTATGTGAAAATTTTATTATTTAATGACATTCTGAACGATTTAACAACTCATTTCCTTCGAGTTATGTGGCTAAAGGCAGTAAATAAATGAAACTAAAAATGTAATTCTCGGTCAATATTATAGACCTTCTGGGTAATTATTACCGCTTCTCCCGTTGCCCTTTAAACAAACTAATTTCAGTTATTTCACCTATTCAGCCTAAGCTTATGGACCTATACTTGTGAAGGGCATAGTGTTGTTAGAGCTGAAATATCATGGAAAGTATGGTCAGACTATCGATCGCATCATGAACAATTCCTTCATGTCAATAGAATCCTTGACGGAAAGCCATCAATTAAATATTTTTCTAATTATATTTATTAAATTAATTATTTTATTTTGCAATAAGCCCATTCTCTTCAACCCGTTTTTATTCTCACCATTATGAGCATAAACTTGCTAATTGCGAAGCAAAAATTTATGTTAGGAGTCGGGGTGTGCGATAGACTTACCTCCACGTGGTGCACCCTGGGCAACGTATACTCATACGCCAAAAAAGTCTATTAACCGGCAGTTGATTTCAAACTACCATGACCCCACTGTATGATATATTCGACCACTTCCACAGTACTACATCACATTTTTTCTAAATTTTCAACCTTCGTCTTTAAAACACTCTTCAGTTCCCCTCCTCTCGACTTTTTTTCACTTTGATGTTCCTTCCCCTCTGTGAAGCCTGAAGTTAACTAAAGGGCTAATGATAACCATCAAAACGCCTGCCATTTGATATAAATAAATAAATGTTAGGAGTCTGTACCTAGCTTCGACTTTTAAAAGGATTAATTAGGTTTAGCAGAGTGGTTATTTGGGTTACATCCACTTCATACTAACCTTAAATTTTTAGTAATCTCATACTTCTAATACTAAAAGTGCGAGAATAGGAATACCATGTTATAACAGCATTTGTCTCTTTTAAAATTGGGGTGGGCGTGGGGGGGGGGGTTGGAGGGGGGAAGGGGGAAGGGGGAAGGGAATTAATTTTACTGGCACGGTCGGCCCTTTTCATTGAATAACTTGATGCCATGGGCAAGCATTTTCTGTAATTAGGAGCCAAATCAGAAAAGCAGAATGGTGGGATGTTGACTGTCCAGTTAGTAAGTACTTTACAAATTGGAACCAAAATTTGTTTGAAGTGAGACTCTTTGGTGACTTGACGTTGTCATGGCATTTTTGTTCCCACCACTTTATCATTCATTGGACTTCCTGTTAATCGTCATCTGTTGTTTTCAAATATTAAAAGATTGCCCAAAGTAATATAAATACTAGCAATAATTCAGTGGTTTTGACCTAATGTGACATGAAATAATTATTCCATAACCTTCGATTTGAATCCCTAGTGTGGAGCAGAGGTGATCTTGGATATTACCGACCAAATAAAACTTGCTTACCACAAACTTGTCTTCCCTCTTTATTGTCTCATGAATTATACCTTAATATGGATTCTTGATTCCCCAAAGCACCTCATTCTTCAATAAAAACTCGAAACTATATCATTTGGACTATGCTTTCATGAGTTTAATCATCACCCACTTTCCAAAAACATTATTCTTCCCTTTTAAACTAGTGAAGAGAGAAGGTTAATGCAAATAGAACATAACAGGCCATCTACTTAATTAATCTGGTCAGTTGGAGAGATTGAATATGTCATAAATACATCCACTGATTTTCCACCATTCAAACTAATTCAAATATGCAGTACTAACTAGTTTAAAATTAACTCTCCCCTACCTATAGTTATGAGGTTGAAACATTGCACTTTTCCCCCTCAAATTAAATTTGTTAATTTTATTAAACCTGGGAATAAAAAATAATTTTGGCGACTACAGATTATTAAAAGATTACATTGGTGAATGCATAATATAGACCTGCCTTTTTCCAATCCCCTATTAATTCCACTTATTGCAGTACTTCCTTTTACAACCTTTTTTCCCCTCACTTTATCTATAATTTCATTAGTTTTCTTCTCAATTTTTTTTGTGAAATTTTCTCATGTTCTTTCAAACTGGGCTAAAAAAATATTTGAGCGTAGACAGCCAACTACTTTACTCCCAATAACTTTCTCCAATCTAAACTTTACAAGGGAAAGAATGAGAAGACGAGGTATACATTCATCGCCAGTCGGTAAACTGCTCAAGTCATGGCTGTGGTATTTGTAGTGATGGCAGAGGGGAGAGGGGGGGGGGGTTGGTTCTTACATCGGGTGGATAGCGATATCTGAGGCAGTCACGCAATACGAGTATCACTTAGAGTTAGAGGCTTGGCTTTCTTTCTTTACTGGAATTACAAACTCACCCGACTCCCCTCTTCCGTTCACACCAATCTTTATAGCTCCCGCCTGTCACGGGAGCAACAGTAGTAGTTAAAAAGGGTGGAAAGGAGTTTCCAGGTTTTTTGGCAGTGCTGGCAAGTGAAATATATTGGTGGTTTGTCTGTTGTCTCCCCCCCCCCCCCACCCTCCCCCACAGCTCTGGAGTATTACTGCTTATTGGCGGAGCAGATAAAATGAATGAGGCCTTTTTGTCTCGGATAAAAAGCCGTGTAGTAGCTAGCTTGTGTTTTTGAATGGAATTTCTCCAGACATTTCGTGGTATCAGTAGTATGCACGCGAAAGTATTAAGGGTGAACTGGATTATCAGTTAAAATATAAATACATAATGCTCAAATCGATTTACTTTCACACAAGGAAAAATTTATGACTTTTAATGCTTTACTGATAATAGGAAAAGTAACTTTTATTACTTTGTTAATGTTGCCTTTAAAACCATCTCCAATTCCTGCAAAATGTTAGGAAAAGATAATACTTCTAGGTTAGAATTACTTGGTATTAGTTATTATTTATATCAAATAGCAGGCGTTTTGATGGCTATCATTAGCTCTTTAGTTGACTTCAGACTTCACAGAGGGGAAGGAACATCAAAGTGAAAAAAGTCGAGAGGGGAGGGGGAGGGAACAGAAGAGTGTTTCAAAGACGAAGTTAGAAAGGTAGAAAAGAGGTGAGGTGAGTACTGTGAAGTAGTCGAATATGACATACATTGGGATCGTGGTAATTTGAAGTCAGAAGTCAACTGCCGGTTGATGGACTTTTTTGCTGTATGAGTATACGTTACCCAGGGTGCACCACGTAGAGGTAAGTCTATCACGAACCCCGCATTGGTCATTATAATGTGTTATTTAACAATGATTTATACTTGTACTCAGATATGAAATCAATTAAAAACAGTAGCGTCAGCTCATTCTTCCTATTCCACAGAGCTTAGCATGCTCTTGAGGGATTTCAAAGTGTCCTTCAGTGCATGTCCGATGAGCGAATTGGACATCGACACTGGTAACTCCAGGCCAATGTTGGGATGCCGAAATTCGTATTTCTCGTTATATAGTGACTCCATGATGTTACACCACCATCAAAAATGACTACTAGAAGGCTCGTTATTGGTAAAGCTTTGAGCTGATAACTCACAGACTGCCAGTATGCCTGGATCTTCAGTTTAAAATCCATTCAACTAATGCCAACTGACTATCTGATGGTCATAAAATAGGGATCAGTTAGAGTAAAGCCTTCCGACAATCAGTTTCTCTTTAATCCACGTTTGATATTAACGATAAAACAGGCAACTAAAGTCAACCTTTTCTTTTTACTGAATTTGCTAAATTTGCCCTATTGTCACAATTTTTAAAGACTGGTTCCTATTTGCACGTCTTGATTTCCTTCCCTAGGGATTTTTAGGCTCGCCCCCTCTTTCCAAGTTTTTAAAAATCTGTCCCACATAGATAAAACGTTTGCTCAAGGCTGGTTTATTGGATGCTAAGAAAAACAAAGTGCGTGAAGTGATCAGAAGGTAGAGATGGGTGTGAAGGTGCAATTGAGGTGGCATCTACGTTTTCAGGTAATGCATATACCATAATGACATAAACAATAAAGTTGATATATAGTCCACGCAAAAATGTATAGGGTCTTATAGGGTATTGCAATTTAGAAAAAATAGCCATATCAAGGATCACTAATAGCATAGGAGGCTTGCTGACGTATCAACTTATATAATGGTCTCTCTTCTGCGGGGTGGGGAGGGGGGGGGGATGAGGGTGCGCGATTGACTCACCTCCACGTGGTGCACCCTGGGAAACGTATGCTCATACGACAATAAATCTATAAACTGACATTTGACTTCTGACTTCAAACTATCATGGCCCCACTGTAAGTCATAATCGACCACTTCCACAATACTCACCTCACCTTTTTCTCTACCTTTGTGTCCGCCTCTCTTGCATTTGTGAATCACTATTCTGTTCCCCCTCTCGACATTTTGTAACTTTGCTGTTCCTCCTCTTTGTGAAGCCCCAAGTCAACTAAAGAGCTAATGATAAAGCCTCCTGTTGTAGAAGAATATAACTTCATACTCTTAACATTATAGAAGGCTGTTAAATGTTCCAAAAAACAACCCTTGTTTAATTTCATTTATCACTACATCGGCTTCTTCCAAAGTATTTGACATTTAAGGTTTTTTGATCCTCCTTGAAAAGTAGTTACTGAAGACAACTTATAACCTTAAATTCCATCAAAAACCATTCGTATCTAATGCCTCCATTCCCATTTGGATTAAATATGTTCAGATCAATGATGGATAGGACCCTGTTTGTACAACATTTTCATCTTTCTTCCCACTTCTTTGTTCATCCTCCTGGATTTTTGGGCTGTTCCCGCTATGTTCAGCCATATTTGCCTCAAACGTGGGCAAAAGATTTACTCGGATGTGACACTACCGATTATTGCAACCAGTATCGTATTCCCAAGGGTATAATTGAACGGATCGATGAACGACTGACGAATTGATATTATTAAAGCCGAAAACGTTGCCATAAAATGCCTTACCGTGTAAAGCAGTAGAAAGAGGATGTGTGGTAATTAAAGGTTACAAAAGAGTGATTATGATGGAATTATTTTTATGAAAATATGTAAATGAACGGGTGTTTTTTTAAGTTGGCTTTAACGTTTACACTCTCTTTCACGCAGCCTGGGAACAATTTTATTTAAGTAGTTATCTGCTAAGCTTAAATAGATAAAGAGATGTTTGAAACTGAAACAATTTTTAGTTCTCATTTCTTTTAAATTTAATGTATCAAACTTAAACATACTGTTTGAATACTTCAAAGTGGTAGAGATGCCTATCGGAAACTGAAGCACATGTATTGCTAAGACATCCATGGTAAATTATCTACTAGACCATACAAAATTTCGAGTAACTTTCCAACCTTTATTGAATTTGGTACATCTAAAATGTCGGGGGTAACACTGAGTGATGATATTCTGAACGAGAACATATTAGGCACCATTAATGGGACATGCGCCTTCCTAATAGATTCCACGTAGATGAATTTCGTGGAGATCCGGACAGAGGTGGTATAGTAGCCAGCCGAGTATGTTGATAAAAAAATTTAGGATTTCTAGCATAGCATTCACACACATAGACCCCTATTGATAGTTTTTGCAAGGTCTGTTCATTTAAGATCCCTAGATATTGGCTGATATCTGTTGTCAATAGAAGTTTCAATTAACTATGCTTTCACAAATTTGATATAAAACTCAACGCCTTGATAAAATCAAACTTACTGAAAAGATTGATATCCATTTGCAGATAAGTTCAAATCTCATTACATGCAATTCACTGATTGATCAAGATCAATAGCCCATTCATTATTCTTCGTCCCGTTTCCATGTTAAATAATGGTACTGTTACCTCATTTTTGAGGTAAATTTTAGATATACCCAGGCAGATCTAGTAAGAAAAAATACTTTGCACACCCTGCTTTGACCAAAGCCAACCAAATACGATTGGCCATTCATATAACAGAATGTTAATTAATGGCCAATGATCCCATGGTTTTAATTTAACTAAAATACACTTTGAAAAGTGAGTTACATACATATTTGTAAAGAAGGCAGTAAATATAAATTAATTTGTGCACAGCTTTAACATTCATTGTTTTTTAAAAACGTCTAACGTTCCCCATTTTACATATATGAGCACTTGCATCGATTTCGAGAGGTGATCGTGTTTTCGTAGAGTGGTTTGATGTTGATGTTGTAATATCTCATAAATGAGAATATATTGCCAACTTCCGCCCGAATAGGCGTGGAATGCGATCAAGCGTGAAGAAAGTTGGGTTCCGTAAACTCTCAAAGTGCCTCAGTTATCTGAGCTTTCACTTATAGTAGTAGAAAATTGTACTTTATTCCTTATTGCAATTGAGAAAGATAATGAGAGCTTAGGTTTGATATTAGCTAATTCAATTGGTTAGTTCAAAAAACACAGCAGAAATTGCCTCCTCCTGAACACAAATCTGTAAACATAAACCTTTTTCCCCTGGAAATGACTTAAGTCTAAAATGCAATCAGTGTTTTAACTGGAAATAGGGTACTAACAAAAAGACAATCAACAAAATATAAGCTAGATTATAAAAAAATGTTTTTTTCCCTAATTACCTAAGCAGGAGTTTTGAAAATATGTCATGTAGTTCCTTTTTTCGAAAGCCTCAGTGATAGAAGTCCGTTGAAATAAAGTTCATTTTCCACAATTCTTGTTGTATTGCGAGATAACCCTCCTCCACGGGTAGTTTCAAGTTTACCATTAGCCTTATCAAGACGAGGGTGCATATCATTCTTTATAGCTTGACAGTTGTGCCATCAGTCCACTTATCCTGATGGGCCAAGCAATATCTCTATGACAGAGTCATGTCAAAAAATAACTTTCCAAATAAAAAAATAATTGTCCACCTTCCTGTAGGCTTGATGTTTTGGTAAATTATGGACTCTATCATTAATTATAGTGGCCTATTTGGTGCGAAAAGTATTCACTGGAAAAATTAAAACCAGTGTGAAACAATGCATTCGATTGTTGACCATTTTTTAAGGTAACAGTATTCTATGCTCTTGACAGGCTGGAAAGTTTAGTCCCTCCTCGTGAAACATGAAGTCCGCTGAAGATAAGTTAAAGATGGAATTAGTTTAGAGAAATTTTAAATTCAATAAAGCCAATATAGCACTAAAAATCGCCTTCATATAATTGAAAAGTATTTTTGTTCCGAATAACTGCCAAGCTGTCAGAAGCGGTTTACGCTCACGCGTTGATAAGGTTGATGTGCCTATTGGAAACTACTTGTTTCTTCCAATAATCTTTTACGTTAATAAACCACAATTTTACAGCATTTTACCAACTATATCCATAAAAAGACAAACCGAAGCATTTGTTAAGAGATATCAAAGTTTCATTTAATGACATATTCGATGTCATACATTTGCTATTCAGTCTATGAAGAACATTATTAGGTCAGCAAAGTAATCATATTGGGTATAAACCAGAAATAACTTCCTCAAGCTCCCCCCCCCCTTATGATGCATACTGCACCTGCTCAGTGTTAACAGACGCAGATTCAGACATAGTTCATAAGTTGGTTGAGTGTAGGATTGGATATAACTATATGGTAATTATTTTGAGCATAAAAGAAAAAATTATTATTCATAAAGCAGCATATCAGAATAAAATTATTCAAAGAGCAGGCCATTCAATGAAAGACGATTGATTTTATTGCGTAGTTACTTCCCGCGTTTACGACGTAGGAGTTATGTCTCAGTGATAAGGAACCAAAATTGCACTTTCAACATATATCGAAACAATTTTACCCTCAGGTAATATATGAATTATTATGAAGGATAGAGCAATTTACTCAAATTTAAGCGATTGATATATTTTATAGTGTTTTTTTATCAATGTTTTATCTTTTATTCGATAAATTTTAATTCAAAGTGTCCAAGTATCATTTAAAACATTCGTCAACTAACATTCAACCCCATTGTCAGTAGTCCAACACACCTATCTTAAGCAAGAACTTTATAAATAATAGGTCGGATAAGAAGAGATTAATGTATATACTTGGATTTTGAATCAGGGTCATTGATCGTAGCAAACGCAGTGCGAATTAACAGAGATATATGTATAAAAATATTAGAAAATTATACCATGAGTAATAATCAAAATTTATTGTTAAATATTTATTCACGGTGATGAATAAGAAATTTACTATATATTGACAATGAAAATCTCTTGAATGGGTTTACATTTAAATAATGAAGTGACCTAGAAATTATAACCTGTATTGGCTTGAAATCAGCTGATTAAGTTTTAGCGTTAATCTTTATGAATGAAATTGAGGTGGTATTAAGCAAAAGGTTTTATAGACCTGGAGATTTAATACATGGGTATTGTTAGTTTTTCTTTCACATATTTTAAGGGCGATTTTCTATCGACAGATACGTCCATCTAATATCGATGTCATTAACATAAAAGTGCAATGCACATTTAAATGTATGTCTTCTTTTCATTTAATAGAAATTAATATTAAGGCTCATACCAAAGACGTACGATAAACAAGTGTGATCTTCTATCTTCTGTCGAAGTTTTTTATTTTAAAGGTATGCTCTTTTATTTAATTTGCTATTTCAGACTGCCATCCTATCGGTTATTATGTTTTTCCTTTTGAACTGAAGTTATCTACCTCTATTGACAGTAAGCAATTCATTTCTCTTGAAGCTTTTGTAGATAGCGCCAATTTTTTTAGCTTATCTTGTCCTGGTGATTTTTTCATTCGAGAGTATGATGTAACTGCCTGTGCCTTTAGTGACTCCCAAACTGTTCTCACCAACAAAACCAATTTTTTTATCCACTCAAATAAAAGCTTCACCGATAATCAAGAATCAGTTGTAGAAACAATTAGATCCAATAAATATTCACCAAAAGTTTGTATTACGCGCCACTTCCCTGAGTCCTCTGTTCTCCAAATTGATACGGTTATTGTGATTCAAAGGAAGTCTTCTCCTGGATTTTCTTTAAGGATAGCCCAAAAGGATCCTCCCTATGAATTAGGGACTTCAGTTATTATAGTAGTTTCTCCTACTTTGTCTGATTATCATCATATCGATTCTGTTAGCTATCGCGTAAGTCGTTCTTTTTGTATTACGTCATACTTGAATGCCATTTTAATTTCCCTTTGCCTTAGTATGTCAATTATCCATCATTTTTCTTTATTTCATTGATAGTTACTTAGACATGTTGAAGCGAACCCAGGCTTTTGTGATATTGCGAATGGTGAAACAGAGGCAAATAAATTTACGGACGTTTTATTTGGCGTAATTCGGCCTGCGTTTAACGATAGTGTGGAAAACGATCAAATAGAATTACCCTTGCCGCCTGCATCATACACCGAGTGCGTTTGGACGACAAATATGGCTCAAATTTCAGTGAGTTTTGTATATTTCTTTCATCTAAATTGCTTCCCTTAAATGGAATCCATTTATTCATTATCGATTGATTTATTGACACCATTGTTTTTACGCTTTATGAATTTGCTTTAACTCAGAAAGTCGTCAATTTCCTAATTGTTATTACTTTGTAGTCATAAAATTTGTAATTATTTTTAAGAAACCCTCATTAACTTTTATGTTTAAGTTTAAACGTTAATGAGAAATAATCTCTTGTGCTTATTTGAGCACACTCCAACCTGTCTTGCATACCCCCTGATCCAGGCACTGTAAGATCATTATAAATTCCCTTTACTCTTTCAAACTTTTTCATTTTGAGCGTTATCCCCTCTTTATGAATTTTTTAAAATGTCTCAGCCTCTAGCTACTAGCTCAACACTACTTTTGCGCTAATTTATTTAATTTTAATAGATCACTTCATTGTGCCTTTTGTAGTAGTTTTTTTCGTGATTTTCAGGAGATTTTGTTTATTAAAATTACCCTTTGGATATCTTCCGTGTTAATATTGATCGTTGTATTTTTTTAATTTTTAAAAGTCCGCTTCTTAGGTGCAAAGGTCCTATCATGTTTGTGTCAGCTTTTCTAGGTCAACAGGCAGTAGTGAACAAACCGTGTTCCTGTGTCGGTCTCTCTCTCTCACATCGCATGCTGAAACGTGATTAACAATCTCGAAAGCAATGTATTTCACTTCATTTATGGCTTAATGCAATTGTTTACATGAGGCTTTTAGAAAGTTGGATCGCGTAGCGGTCTTTCCCATTTTAGGAAAAATATATCACTCATTGCTCTCCTCAAGTTATTCTGAAAAAAAGTGGGCCTGCCTTTTATAAGACTGTAAATTTCTTTTTTATAAAGCACCCTCGTGCTTTTCTGATTCTCGGTATTGAAAATTTAGTTATTTGCCATTTCTGAGACGTGTATATCGTTGCTTTAGTTTTATTTCTGATTCTATTAAACAGTGAAAATACCACTTTACTAAGGGATTTCATACAAGAGGGACTCTTGAATTCTAATTCAAGTGTAGCCTGTATCGTTTTTTTAAATGCGCAGATTTTTATAGAAAGGATAAAAAACGAGGAAATCTTTCAGTTTGGTTCTTGAAAAACTACACAATTATGGTGACACATTACTCCATTCGGTCAGCAATTTCTTCTGATAACTGGAATCTATGCGGAGACTATCTACTAACAGGTCATTACTCTCTTTCTAGAATTCTGTCTTACAGTTCTTTGTGTTCTTTGTATCGATCTGGGCCTCTACTTGCGTAATAAATCTAGGCCATCTCTGTACAAGAAAAGTTGATTTCCGAGTTTCATTTTTCGTTCTTGAACATTTTATTATCCGAATATCTTTATTGGAATTTACTTTTACATTCCCACTAGAAGAAGTTTTCACCTCACTTGAATTGGACAAGAAGAAGGTGTTCTGGTGACATTTCTACAAGAAACTCACTGTCCATCACTTCTATAATTAACCTGGAGTAACCGCGGTGGTTGGTCGCCCACCACTGGTGTGCACCGATGAGTAGAGATCCCGTGACATCTGAATTAGTAGACGTTGACGCCGCATCTCCGACGCACGAAATTTTACCACATAAATTGCAAATTCGTCGTCCTGTACTGGGAGGATAAATTTATTGTGCATTTGAATTTTTAGTGCCGCATTTTTAACGATTCATACTTCTAACCGCCAATTCAATTGCCAAGTGCTTACTGGGACCTTTCCATTGTTTATCTACTGGCTGTATTTGCCAGGGTTGTTCTTATCTTGCCTGTGAAGCCTAAGTATCCAAGACAGAAAAGAATGGGGTGATTGTTATAGTTTTGATCTACAACTTAATTGAGTGATGGCTAAAATCTGCCTCTTGTGGATAATGGGGGAGATAGACTATTTTTAAAATCAAACATTTAGACTTAATCATGAGAGCACACAATCTGTCTTTCAGATTAATGCATACATGATTGTTAAACCTTTAAAGGTCTATTAGGAGAAATGTTCAGAGCTCCACGAAGTCGTACTTACGAGAAGTCTAATCGTCCCACCTCGCTTTGCAGTATCTGCATCCAACTTTCTAATCGAACAACTTTTCGTAACTTCATAAAAAGCACATCTGAAAATTCGAATCTCCGCATATCTTTATATTCAGATTTACTTTTCAGGCACTATAAAGTTCCTCATCCTAATAACGAAGCTCTTATAATTGTGCCACCCTCAACTGATTCTCTCGATATTTGCTACCAGCAACTATCTTCGAATGCTTTTTTTTCAGTATCGCTATGAGGTTGAGGTTAGTATAGCCTCATCTCTAAATCCTAGTCTGCTACCCTCTAGTAAAGCCGCTTTTGAATGCCCACCTATCGTATTCGCCATTCCTGTTGTGGTTGTTCCACCAAGTGCTGTCCCCGAATCGTCTCTTCCTCAATGGACATCTCTTTGTCTTTTCGCATTGACTGAAGATGAGTGGAATACGTCTTCGGATTTCTCTAAAAAGGATCAGTCTGGATCGCTTTCCAGTCCGTGTCAAACTGTAGTGGTATCTGGGGGGAAACGAGGACCAGCGGGTATCTCTTCGCTTAAAGTACAAGGTTAGTTTTAGTAGCATTTTAAGCGCCTAAACTTGTTTATGTTTTTTGCTCTTTCGATTCTCTCTACTGAAATGTTTTAGTAGGAGTTTTACTACTAGGATGCGGTTAGAATTTATTTATTTACAAGCATTATCATATCATAGGTCTTTAATCGTTACATGCTTTCATAGAAATCTTATATATTTTCTCAAAATTTTCCATAATGTAAATGCTTTATTAATTTCATCTAAATATTTATTAATCCATACATTTCATTGAATTTGTTTCAATATTTTCTCATTCATTTGCAAATTATTAAATTGACATTTCTTTTCACAATTTAGAGAATCCTGAATTTACAAAGATCCCCGTTCTTCGCCACCTTGGAGCCTCACACTTTTGATGTGCCAAATTTGTCAACTTTTAATGACTTTATATGTTATTGTGTAGTCTTATTTTCTACACTTTATTAGGTAGTGTTTATAAATAAAATGATAAATTTCTTATTGTTTTTTTTAATTATTGTGCTTCAACTTTAAGAAACCAATTATTGCAGCTAAAACGTGCCGTCTTTAGTCTAACTGCTATTATCATTGCTACAGTAGATGCGTTTAAAGGTTGTAGATAATGAATGTGGTTACATATGACTGGTTGATTGGGGGTGTGCGATAGACTTACCTCCACGTGGTGAAACCTGGGCAATGGATACTCAGACACAAAAAAGTCTATTAACCGGAAGTCGACTTCTGATTTCAAACTACCGTCACCCCACTGTATGCATATTCGACTACTTCCGCAGCACCCACCTCACTTTTTTTCCGTTATGTCTACCTCTTTTACATCTTTGAAACACTCTTCTGTCCCCCCCCCCCCTGGACTCTGTTCTCTTCTCCTCTGTGAAGCCTCAAGTCAACTAAAGAGCTAATAATAGCTATCAAAACGCCTGTTATTTGATTTAAATAAATGATTGGTTGATGGAGATAATACAAATTTTACCTTTATTATTCAAAATATCACTTTAAGATATCGATGACTTAAGTGCTTTTGAAATAGTGCTCGAAACTATTGGTTAAGTTTATGGCGAATGATATGCACAACTGTATTGATTAAGACTGATAATGAATGTTTCAAAAGCGATTTGGGAGCATGAAGTTATTCTTCTGCCTATTATTTGAAAAAGCTAGTTTGAAATAACCTAGATGCATATATACTTACTCAAAAATTTGCAGCAAAGACAAAACCTCTAGGTGTTGTAATATCAAATAAAGCTGTTGTTCTAATTCTTTCTCTTTGCACCAGTCCGAGAATAATAGTTAAATATATAAAAAAAACTCTGTGATTAAGATCTCTACAGAGAAGAAAATTGGCCTATGTTCAGTACCGTTTAATTGACTAAGGGCACCTTATTTCCCATAAATAAATCAGTAAATCGAAATTTCCAACTTAAACGAAGGTTCAAAATTAATTATAAGAAATGAAATATATTTGGCATATAGTTTGTTATTTTATAAACTTGGAACGGTTGAGTTTTAAATTGCTATGTTAACAGATCGTCAGCAAATTCCGTACATTGATGAATTAAGGACTAAAAAATTTTCAAATAACAAAAATATGTATAGTTGATTTTACGAAAAATGTGTCTTAAAAACATTAATAGGACTAAGACAATGATTGCTAAAGATATATATGCAACGAATGAAAGCATTTTTATGTTAAATAATATTTGTCATCCAGTTATTTGAATAAAGGTTAAAAATCCATGATATAAATTAAAATTAGCTAATTAAATATTTAATTGAATGCAAAAATTAGAAAATATCTTATTACAAATTTTATAGAAAAGTTTGTTTAGCAAAATGTTTAAATTAGTCGAAAATGGAATATCTTGTATAGAGCGCAAATCATTTCCTTCAAATTATTTTGGAACATGTTACGTATTCAAGTGAACGACGAAAATGACGCCTACTCTTCTAACATCAAGCAAATCAATGGAGACACGCCATCCATTAAGAAAAAAGGCCTTAATATAGTCAGTCCAAATGCAGTAAAGCATCAGAGCTGCTTTGATATTGGCTCGAAAATCAATGCAGAAAACAGCCTTCTTGATTGCCCTACGGAGTCCTACTTTCCTTCTTCTGACCACGGTTTGTTACAATTTTCATACTCATTGGGTTTATTTTCTAGACTACTCTGATGTTTTCTGTTTGGGTGGGACTATGGAAGATGTTTTTGTTGATATCCATAAAATCGCAGGATCTTGGAGGCCTAATCGAATGGCAGCAAATATTTGTGGTACGGTATAAGCTTTAAATATACATTAACATGTTTTTCTAAAATATTTCTTTTTAGATGTTCAACCATCGGATCAGTTCAATTTGCCTATTTTCGAATCTCAATTTTTCAAATTGATCTGAAATTCCCCTGAATGTTTGCTTTATTAACACGTCAGCTGTTTTAACATTCCTGTTTCAAAATAGCTTCATTTATATTTTAAATCTTTTCTGTAAATTCTATTTTAAAGTAATAAGGTGTTATTGTGGTTTTCTTATTTGGTATTTTACCAGGTGTATGTATGGCCATTAATGGGCATGGTTGATTACATCTTTAGGGTATTGGACATTTTACTTGGCAATTAATAGATTTATTGTATGATGTTACGAAACTGGATTTCGTTGATTATTATTCGCAGTTAGGTACAGCCAGTAGTTATTTAAATGTGAATTACTTGGCTTGAATAGTTGCATTCTGGTGTCACTTGGAGGGATTCTCCATTGACCTTATATATTTAAGCTAACCTTTACTGAAAGAATATTTGGATGTAACCGTTTCGGGAAAATTTGCGACTGCAAATTGTGCCATGATTCCTGCATGAACACCACGAGCACATTTTCTTGGTATCACATTTTCTACCTATTTTGTTCTCCTATTGGTCACTGTATAGTATTTGTATACTCAAGCACACAAAAATTCAAATCGATTGCTATGGTAACGTCGGGATTTTATTCCGAAATTCGTATGTCTCCTTTTAATCGGTTGTCTTGACAACCTTTATAGACGTGTACGCCCTTAGGGCGAAGTCTCACGAGTGTGCATTTCCATTGTTGCTTTACCTCTTACTGTCTTCACGTTTATCTTAATAAAGCTGGGAGCTTTAGAGTCATTCTTCATTAATTTCGCTTATGTTCTAACACTTATTTTTATTAGGTCAATTAGGTGTCCTTAAAAGAATCGGTTGTTTAAGAATTAATTCCTTTAAGCCTCTTGACCTATTAACAATAAAAAATGTATTTCATGTTATTAGATAACGACCGATTGTTGCCATGTGGCCCCTTTTAGGTGCCTAAACCGTAAGGACAGTATAAGTCGAAGGCGAAGAAAGAGTATATTCGAAACTTGTTCATTGTTGTGATCATTTCTACCGAGACTTTCAAAAACATTAAAATACTTAGGAATTGATCGGATGCTTCTTATGTTAAGACGAATACCTATCGATTAGAAAGTGGTATGAGGTGCCAGCCTCTCTTTTGACCGGTTTCTTGTTCCAAATCAAATTTTAATCGTCTAAATAATGACTGGAGGGATGTATTATAGATAAAGTAGTTTCTCAAGTCAAGGAACAGCCCTAATCTCAATTAGACTTTCAGTAAGCTGAACTTGTAGCGTACTATTTATCACATACCATTTGGAGTGTACTGAATTACTTTATGAGGGTAGACATGTACGGTCTCATACAGTTGGAGGATAGTTGTTTGAATGTGATGTTCACTACTTTCGGTTAAGAAGTCTAAGTTAAAACAGTGGAAATTATGCTTGGCACTGTACTTTTGAGGACTGAATATCAAATCCTCCATGATGTGAATTCAAGTTGAACTGCACTTTTAGTCGAGTTCAATTCTGATTTTCTTAGAAATATTAATTAATCAGACAGATTTACATTAACCTAAACCTTAAATGTGGAGCTTAGGTAATATAGCTAACGCTTTCAATTCACTTATGCTGACTAGCCGGGCCAAGGTACTGAAAGAACAGTTTTATCCGTTGTTCTTAAATAGAAAAAAGTTTCGATTGGTATTAACTCGTTCATTTTCGTACTTTGTTGAACTCTCTAAAACGACTTAAGGGGTGGCATATGAACGGTCATTTTCGTAGTAAAACAGTGAATGAATTACTCCAACCCATGCATTGTCATGAATTCGTTGCTTTGATAATGAGTGTGAAATATGCAAGCCCGGTCAAATGACCCCATAGAAAATAAGCAATGAGTGGGAGAACGAAGTTGATTTCAAATCTGAACCTAGTGTGTAATACTTCGATTTTTGGTACCAATTTATTAGTGGGGAGGAGGAAGGGGGGACTGGCTACTGGGAAAATCAAGATACACAAGGTCTCTCACTCATAACAATTACGCTTTGGAATATAATTAATTGAAGCGTAAATTTGTTTTCTCTGTAGCCTCGTCTGCTGATCTACCAAGTGTTTCTAAGGAATCCTGCGATATGTTGTAAATTGCGACGGTGGCTTTGCAACATATCACCAGTCTTCCACAAAAACAATGGTTGTTTGAAGAAAATCTGAGGATAACTCAAGAATTTTGCAAAATATATATCCATAATTTTAAACTGATGCCTGCTTTACTATTTAAATTTCAATAGCCTCCTAGTGATCGTTAACAATAAATAGGATTATTCGCATTGAACTTGTCATTTAACTTTATTCGTAAAAAAACCTTAAGACAAGTACCAGTATTAACTTGTGGGAATTTATTAATTTCCAATCAATGCGACGATGATTACTTAATTTTAAAGATTTGAGTCATCAAGTTAGTAGTAGGCATCGATGTAATTACTGGGTAAAATATAAAAAAAAAGTCAAAGGCATTTAGTGTAAATCTGTTTAAGTTATATAAAAGTTAACTTGCAGAGAGTTTATGCAAATTACTACTTAAATGTAGTTATTAAATGATAAACATGGCAAGAAAGTTGCCAGGACATACCGATAGAGCGTCCATATGGTGGCTTCGGTTGCGACCAAATGAAACCGTCATCGTCATTAAATATGGTAAAGTTTCTCGTGTTGTCCTCGTCCTCAGAGCAAAGGGAGGGAGGAGGG